ATGGATGGATGGATGGATGGATGGATGGATGGATGGATGGATGGATGGATGGATGGATGGATGGATGGATGGATGGATGGATGGAAATTTACAAAGAATTTCTATGTGGGAACAGGTACCTAACTTCTTGTAAGTAAACGTTACATGTTTTTTTTCAGTGTAGAAAAAAAAAAGTAAGTTGAAAAACCTCTATAGATATTCAGTAAGTTATACTAGATATTTGATGACTATGTTGGGTTATATTCCATAAATGTTTGTCTTAAATGTTGTTAATATAGCTTTTAGAAATGTCTTTGTGTTTCAAGTTAGAGAACTCTGATGGTTGGAAATTGTTGTTTTTCTGGCTTTATTTGATCACATTATAGATATCCAGCTAAACAAGTTTGAATTAATTTCCTCTATGACTCCATTTAGAGCTCCATCTACTGACCTCACTTTTGTAACATTAAAAACTTTATGCGTCAGGTTTAGGTAAACACGCTTACAGATTAATCTCACTTTGTTGTAAACCCCACTGTTCTCTATTAAGGTTGTTTTGCAAAGGAGGCAAAGCAGGTTTGGATGTTATCCAGAGGGACGTCTGGTGTTCATCAGAGCGCTGAAGCATAATCCCTGGAAGAAAGTGCAGCTGTGGAAGCTGTACATCTGTCCTCTGTCTGAACCTGGACCAGCTTATTCAAAACAACTCCTATTCTGACACACAATACTTGTACAGAGACGAGAAGCTGGGCATAAACTTTCCTTTATACACCCATTAAAAAAAAAAGAAATGTACAAGGTTGCAACAGTTTTCCCCCTAAAACATTTGTTACTCTACACAAGGCAGAGATTGCAACACATTCCACCAACTATAGCTCAAGCAAGATAAACCTTTTTAAAACTTGTGATTCAGAAACAGTCAGTTATACCTTTACTCTCCAAATAGAGCTCCTATCATTACCCTTAATATCTTCAACTTAAAGCAGCAGCTTCAAGATCAAAACTATGAGACATTGAAAACTGAAATTATATTTTTAAAAGTTAGCAATATTATTGCAGACTTCAGCAGTTGCTTTTGTATTCTCTGAAAAGGAAACAAATGAAAACATCAGATCGATTTTATCTGGAAACTGATGTATGTATGATCAATAATTTTAATTTGTCCCCCGTGACAAACAAGAAGTGAATTACTCAGCCGCTGATCATTTCTCAAAGACAAATGGCTTTAGATTTAGAGTTCACGTCTGCATAATGAGTGCTGTCTGAGCTATAATCATTAGCAGTAAGAGGCGGCTTCATTACTTTGCTACACAAGAAGCAATAATAAGGATGTCGGCGACGGACTGTGAAGAGCCACGAGAAAGAGTTTATCAACTCAAAGTAGCAGACTGGTTTATATCTTTACAAAAAGTCTTGAGTCAAATTAGGGAAAAGTTTACATCTCCACCTATCATCAATTCTGTGTTACTTCTTTGGCTTTCTGTTTCTTAAAACTTTTTTTCCCCGGGTTTGAATATACCGTAATCTGCGTGGATTATCTTCAATCCAAACAATCTGTGTGGCCCAAGTAACATTTGAAAAATCGTCCCTTCAGCAAATTTGGCAGCATTGATAATGTAAAAATAAACTTCGCTCCTGTCAGCACCTTCTCTGCTCTGTTGAACCAATACTGGCTTGCACTGTGACCAGTGACACTAAAGCACCAGCAGTTTGCTGTTTATTATAGACTTTAGCCTTGGTGGTTGGTGCTGAAGATTTAAACCAGTCCCTTTTATCTGCGGGAGACTGTTCAGATGGTTGAAACCAAAACACAGTGGCGTATAACAGAGCGAATTGTAACTGACATAGGAGACAAATATTAAAAATAGTGGAGGATTTTCACAAATTGTTTAAAAGTTGCTGTTTGCATCGCTCATACAAGCTTACTTTCCAAAAGATGTGCAATTTTCCACTAGGTAGGACTCACCACTGTGTTAGGACAAGACATACCTAGCTGCCAAGAATTACATCCCCTTCGCACAATGATGAGAAAACGGAGTGAAATATGAATGAAAAGGGAACTTTAAATAATATTGGTAATGTTTTCATATTTCTCATGCATGTATACCTTAAAATTGAGTTTTAGTGGACAGATAAATGCAGAGAAATTCCTGCCTGCAGAGAATAACCTCTCCTGTCACAGGAGCATGCATTACCCTAAACTCTTGCAAATTGATGAGAAAATGGATTGAAATATGAATAAAAAAGGGAACTTTTAAACATATTCCTAATGTTTTGTCAGAAATGTTATAGAATAGTGTTGATAGCAATAGCGGGAAATGCCATCCACTGAGCAGAGAAAATATTCATCGGACACTGACTGTAGCACATTGACTTAAACTTTTCTCCATACAAGTAAAAATCAAATTCATTTGAATTGATCTGTCCAGCAAAACTCTAAATTATAGGGCATCCAAGCATAAGAAATATGAAGACAATAGAAATATTTTTAAAAGTTCCCTTTTTGTTCATAATTCAATCTGCTTTCTCATCAGTGTGCGAGAGGGGGGGTAATTCTTGGCAGCCAAGTATTTCTCTGCATAGGGTTAGGTGAAAATGGGGACGAGCGCGTAGGACGGACTTAGACTTAGTTTGATGATCCACCCAGAAAAAGAACCCCCACTACACCTTTAAATGCTCCTAATTTCAAGCCCTTTGCAAATGTATGGACTATTATTGAAATCTGGTTTCAAGCCAAAGAAAAATAAAGACCTAAATTAATCTATTTAAGTGACCTCTCCAATTCATGGTTAAAAAACCCACCAATAACCATCTAAGGACCTCTAAGTGCTCCCAAACAGCGTCTGCCTTTTTCTGTAGCTTCCTACTGAGCATAATGCTTTTGGAGGCAATGAAGACTAACACACCTTACTCTCATTACAGTATCTTTACGTAATCCAAATCATATTTAGCAATACAAATTAATATGAGTTTCATGCTCCATCTTTTTTCTTTGACTGCAGTAAAGATTCTGCAGAGTAAACAAGTGCAGAAACAACTTAGAAACAGCAGGGGGAGCAGTGTAACCTCACAAGTATCCCACCACTGGGACAGAGTGTACACTTATTCTACAAGCAGTCAACAAAGTGACAGCTCACAGGTTGTTTACTATTTCTTTGGGTAATATAGGGATTTAGATCATGAAAACAATCCACATTTTTTTTTTTCTGATCTAATCAAAAACATGACAGAACGCTCTGGTCAGTGGTCCATCACAGAAGTGTGCCGTCGGTTAACTATACAAGGACATGGAATTGTCAAAAATTAAGCCAAATAAATTAATTATTCACAGTTAAGGATTTTCCTGTTAAAAGGGAAACAAAGGAGGAAGATGTTGGTGGAAATAGGTGGATATCACCTGGACCAAAGTGGCAGGAAAGGTGTGACAGGGAAGAAGATTAAGCTCAAAGGATGACTTATTCTGTTATAATGCTTTAACTGCATACCAGCTGCTGTAGGGCTGGGAATATTGGATGCATGAATCATCAACATTTCAACACTAAGGAAGAGGGAGTGAGCATGGCTGAGAATAAAATAGCAGTTGTACATGTATTTAGAAAGAGCAGGAACTAGTCAGACGCTTCAAGGTCACTTAACCCAGCAGTAGAAATGCACCAAACGGGGGAAGAGAGAGAGAAGACTAAATACTGGCATCCGACCAGAAAACACAGCCAAAAAAAGACTTAAGGTGTGATTGGATATGCGTGTGCCATTCGCAGAGAGGGTGATTTGCTGGGTGAATGATTAAAAATGACTTGCAAAGACCCCTTCAGTCTAAAAGGAACTGTCTAGGCAGGGTTGATTAGAACAGAAAAATGGGTCAAGTGGAGTTCACTGTGATTAGGCTTAGAGAAGTCAGGTGAGGATAAACACTGACACAAAGAGGATCAGGTGTTTTCTCTTTGAGCACCTTCAAATCCAAGAAGATAGAAACATTTGTAAACAGACTATTATGTTTGTACGTTGTTTTATGGGTATTTGACCTAACAAAGGAACACTGTATGGATTCCCACTACAGGATTTCACATAATTCAAAGTGTTGGAATAAAATAAAAGCTTTAGGTGCCTTTGAAATTATCTGGAATGTTTAGATGACTGACACAAGGCATAAGAATCCAACTGATTTGCCTGGAGTAACAAACTCTACGCCCTTTTAGCTAAGATTTTAATGTATTTTAGTAGCATCCTAACTGCAAGAAGTTGTGCTCTACACACCTGAATCCAAAGACTCCAGAGAAATGTGGCAGGAAAAGTTTAAAATGCCACTAAACTGGAACAAATCTGTATACATTAGAGGTCCCGATTTTCCATCTGATTGGTTAATATGCATATTAAATACTCTTCTTGGTTTCTGACACCCTTTGATGTTAAGAGGTATGACAGTAAATTTAAACTACATACATATTGGAGCTGATTGGAATGATTGGATTTTTTCATGACCAAGTATTGACTTTCCTAGCCTGGGTGCCATTCCGAACTTAGTCCCGCCCACAACGTTTGAGGTCGGGAAGTTAGGTCTGGCATTGCTTAATAGTAGCGCGAGTATGCTCGCACAATTTCTGGCGGGCCAATCAAATTGTCAGGGCGGGCTTTATACAATGATGGACAGATGATTAACAGTAACGTAATCAACCACGTGACCAAAGCGCGCTTGGGTGACAACAATAATGGCTGCCGCTGGAGAGTTGAGGTGAGTAGATTCTACTATTAGGTCTGTTCTAGAAGATATCGACAGCAAATTAATTTTAAAAGAGGAACAGAGAAACGCGATCAAGGCTCATCTTCTTATTCTAGGCGCGCAACTGCACGCTTTGATTTTTGTTGACAACAACTATGTGTTGCTTAACATACGTCACGCACTCCGTTGCTCTTATTGGTTGTAGGTCTATCCAATTGAGTGCAGAGGCATTTTTTTTCCTGGTTTGTTCAAAACACGCCCCATAATCACAGCTTAATGGAGCAGTATCAGACTCATATTCTGACTAGAATTGAGTAGGACTACGTCAGGCTGTGACTTTCCAACAAAATACTAAAAACAGGTAGACAAAAAAACAGACTTTGATTTAGAGAGAGAAGCTGTTTCTACCAATAGTTAATTTGCTGGATTTTAACATTTGCACTGACATGGTTTTTATTCGTATTTTATTTATTTTATTGTTTTCCCAGACAGTTCATAATCAGCGTACCTGGCGATGTAGGCCTCAGAGACCCTGGCATCGGTGGGTGAGCTGATGTCCTTCCCTGAACATTTATCTTCTCCTGCATGGCCGCTGCTGGCCTCGCTGTCAGCCTTCTGACTCAAGCTGTCAGAGAAGTTGTCATCCCTGAGAAGCAGAGACATTGTGACATTGAGACATGGAAAGAGCAAGAGGAAGTGACAAACAGACCCAAAAAGGAATAGATGGAAGAAAAAAAAATTAAATCAGCAAACTGGCTTCTTTTAAATTTGCAGTTCCTCAATAACAGTGTTTGATATCATTTTTCCTGCGAGTCAGCATCGCTCCGCCGCCTGAGAGTCAGATGAGTCATGATGCTTGGCCTTTCAGTATGCTGGAGATGCTCTGTAACTCTGTCACCTATTCATATCCACAGCACAGCTGGATGGGATTCAGTGAGCTATGCGAGTGGATACTGGGTACAGCTGGTGCTTGTCAGGTAGCCATAATCAGACCTACTGGGCTACACTGCTGCCTCTCGTGATGTGCTTCAATCTTTTATTTGTAACTGCAGAACAAAGGACAAGTAAATAAAGCCTAAAACAGCCCTTAAAATCTTTCTAAGTTTCAGGTGAAATGATGACAATGCTTTCACACATTTTCCAGCTCAGGTTTTACTACACTTTAGGTCAAGTTCTACGGCTCCAATTTCCCCTTGTATTCATTAAGTAAGCAGACACTCCTTCTACAGTGTCCCTGCTGGTGAATTATTGATAAGATTCATGTGGACAGGACTGCAACAGGGCAGAGAAGAGAAGAGGAAGCGGCCAGGACAAATATTAAATGGCCATTTTGTCGGCCAGCCACTAAGTGATTGCAGTCATTCTGCTCCATTCCTAACGAGACGTTGAATCCGGTCCATTAGGCACCCACAGGAAGAGTATATGCTTGTTAGTGCAGTGAGTATGACACAATGACAGCAGGTCTGGTAAAGAGCTCTGGAGATGAAGAATCCTCCACAGCTGAGCAGAGATAAGAGCAATGGGAAAGACAAATGAGGCTGAAGGTCATCTGTGTGTGACCCCCTCAGTCAGCTGATGGCTCATGACCACTCATGGAGCAAAGTCAACATGGATAAGTGTGGTTTTTTAACCCACAGGAGTAGATTATTTCCTTTCTAACATAATGATAAACAGATGCCATAACTGTACAAGTGGAAATCCACTCTGCTTTAAAAATGTAACATTTCTGATGATAAACTGTTGACCTATCAACATAGCCGTATATTAATGATGTAAAGTAAGTTAGGACTGTAATACTATTGGCTAAAACTTTGCAAACATCATACATTTTAATGTGTTCCAATAACATGTTTTTATTTACTAATAATCTCTCATACAATAAACATTTTGAAGCATTGAGTGTCATTTTGGAGCTAAATGTTACAGCTTGGTGCTTTCACCCTTACGTACATAT